TGCAAAACAACATTGTTGACGTTACTCTTATTGCTATATGCTGTCAAATGAATTTCATGGGCCATAGTTAGGAACATAGAAAAGAAATGTGTCCCTAAAGTTGGGTCCATGTTTTACTTGTGAAAACGTTGTTAAACAATTAAAATAAACATAAAATATTCAAACAGCAACTGTAAGTTTTACGTCTAGTGTGTATTATCAGGTAATTCCAATCAATAAATGCCATAATCAGGCCATTTGATGATCGTCAGTCAACCTTCCCATCTTAACCTTATAAGTCATGGCGGCTAAAAACTCCGAACATTGTGATATTCTCAACCAGTTTTATTACTTACGAGAGCTGAAAATGTATTGAAATGTTGTGATATAAATTGATTTGTGTGTGGTACACATTTATCAACCATCAGTGATTAATATTTTCCTTATTTTTTGTGTAATATTCCTTAATTAATTATTTATTTGCGTGATAGGCCGAATGAAAGGACTAGACCCACATTACATACCGTAACCCTATATAAAAAAAAAGAAAAACAAAACATATGACAGTTGAACTACAAAACAAGCCTGCTCCCGGAGACGGAGTTCTGAAAAACATATTCTATTCAAATATACGACTGGATCGAATGTCAACAATAGCCTCCTAAAAACATCTACCATGTTGACTTCTCAATTAAACTTTCTCACGTACCCTTCTCGAAACTTTCGGATACTCTTATTCTTTGATTCCCCAGCCTCTTCTGAAACCCGGAGTAGGGAGTGTTGGATAATCACAGCTCCATGCACAAGTAACTTGTGCACAGTTGGATACAGCACATACAACTGTATAAGTTATTGTACATCACTCAGGTTTCTTCGGCATACGCTTGGTATGCTGCGACGTTGTTCTCTGCCTTGCTGTTTATTAGTGTTAGAATTACGAAAAATCTCTCCGACAAATTTTCATCAAGCCCTGTAATTCTAGCAGCTGCTACTCTTTCTTGAAAATAAAACGTCTTGCGACATTTCCGGTGTTGGAGTTGCCTCCCCCTGAACGAGGTTTGCTTATCCGTAACCCCCACTGCTCCTTGAGAGCTGAACGGATATGGTCTTCGCGTTGTTTAACATCTAAGTTTTTCTTGGAAACCTTCCATGTCAGGGTCTGCATGGACAAACGGTAAGCAAATTTTCAGCAACATTTCCATTGAACAAATGTACGCGTGTAGTGGTGACACACCGAACTTGTACTTTTGTGGGTCAGTCGAGTCTTTTGTTTCTAGAACTAAGTTTAGTTTTTTCCCACTACGCAGGCAAGTGTAGCAAGATTGAGAATGTGTGCGTCTTCTTTCGTCAGCTCAAGCTCGTGAATGTCTGCGTTCATCTTAGCAATCACTCGATTAGTGAGAACATCACTCTCTTTTTCAAAGATCAATGATTTTGGACGACACAAACGAACAAAAGAGGGGTTATCATTTTTCCATATGATTTGACCATTGAAACTGCAAATATATTTGAGTCGATCTACCGTCCTTCATCATAGAAAACATGATAGTACCTATGTAAAGAGACTTGTAGTTATTTATATTATAATATCTTGGAAAATAATCGCAGGCAGTAAAAATAATAACTACCATTGCATATGACAAAACAATACGAAAAGAAGAAAGTATAATCTTATTAAACTAATGATCAATCGATTATTTGATATTTAGTGAAGAAGTGCCTAATCTGCACCGTTCGAAGAATTCGTGTAAAATTCTACGAGATATAGCGCACATAAAATTAACGCTAGATTTGGCATAAATTTACGCGATATTTCGTGAAAATTTAAGCGGAATATCGCATAAGTATAGCTCAGATTTAAACGAAGGGAGATTTTACGTGATAGTTAAAATCAGATATTTTTTTTTCTGTGTGGAGTTATTCGAGCTTCCGTCACATCCCTATTTCATGACTAGGTCCAAAGCTTTGTTGTGTAATATAGTATCATATTTAACGAACTCCAGAATACGCTTTACTATGTGAGGTCTTGGAGAACAACATCCGCTTTGGACGACTTGATGGAGATGAATATTGTAATAAAATGAATTGAAATTATATCATTTTCTTTAGTTTATCAATAGCAAAGTTTGGTTGCTTCAAGTACGGTATTGTAAGAGGAATATATGTTTGCGGCTTGTTTGATGTTGGGCATTCGAACGTCATGGTATTGGGTTTTGCTAAGGTCAGTTCTAACGATAAAACAAAAAGCCTCTTCAGGAGTCAATGCTACTACCAACCGGTGGAAACTAACGATTTTAAATTGGCTCACTACTTGACTAGGCTATTGGTCCCAAGTTAAGATAAGCGTACCCCATTCTAGTCGAAATTCTAGTACTACACTATGTTTGATTCGCTATGAATGTTTGACAGATAAAATGAGGGGTTCGTGGATTTTCCTATGTTTCGAGGGGTGCATTGATCAGCTTGGGACCGAAGATAGTACCAGAGCTGAGCCAAAAAGATGGGCACGTTTCGTAGGGACCTTCTGGTTTTAGAGTTACCTCTATGCTACTACCTCGTTATTCTCAGATTCGAACGATATGAACAGATCTTCTTTAGGATCTTCTTTAGGCTTCTCTTGCACTAGTTGCCGCTGCAAATCCGAGCTCTTCTGTGGTGAAATTTTCTCGGACCACTCGTAAACGGTTTCTCTTTGTGCTTTGGGAGCTTTCGCATTAACTGTCGTTTTAGGTTAGTTTTCGGATTCTTACCAGGTAAAAACACTTTTTCCTTAAATCATCTCTCATTTTTAGTTTGGAACCGGTCAAGTGTTTTCACTTCATCCAACGCGTCGAATAATCAAGTTTTTCAGTTCTTATGATTTTTTGAGCACTCGTGTCACAAATATTAGGGTATTTCTCTTGCAAATGTTTTATAACATTTTCATCACTGCGTCCAAGTATCAAAAACTCAACGATTCCACTTCACGACACTTCTATTTTAAAACTTTCACAGTAAAAAAAAAGTTGCTACAATTGAAGCTATTTTGACAGATCGAGCATTAGCTAACTTTTTTGCCATGAGGTTCTCCAGACAGAATTTCGCAAACACTAATGCAACGAGTAATAGAGATTGCTGACGTTTATCGTACGCACACTACGTCACGTATACGTATACGCAAAATGTTTTCATCGGGAAAAAAAACTTCATACCGGAAAATTTTCCCGATGAAAAAAAATCACTGACACAATCATACTTTAGCAATCTCTATTTCTCATCAATGAACTGGATTACTGAGGTGAAGCAATCGGACGCACACAACCAGTGCACCAGTGTTGTCACTCAGTGTCGTCACAAATTGCGATAACGTTATTTTTTTGGGTTAATAATACAGTTTCATTGTATCTCATTGAGTTCTTAAACAACAATACCATACATGCTTTTTACGCTTCTTTTACAAGTGTTTTGAATGTTCAATTGTAAAATAAGTTAGTACTAGCTCAAAATTCAATAACGTTAAATTATCTTTGCAGTAATGTTTCAGTTATTTTTATCTATCGATCAATTGCAATACATCTATAAACCATGCAAAATTAACAGATAAATATTAATGTTCAATATTGGATCACGTTTGGACTTGGTCCTGGATTATTGTCTATGGGGATAACACCTAAAGGTATGCAATGTTTCATAGAAAACAGCTACTCCATAAATTTTCCAGCCGGCGCCGGTGGTGTAGTGGTAAGAGTGACTGCTTTCTCACCTCAATGGGTCTGGGTCTGTTACAATAAATAAAATAAATTTACTAGCTTTTTATTCGTGTTCCAATACCCCGTGTGGTGCGCTTTTATTCATACGTCCGTCAATCAACCATTCTCCTGTTGTCATCGTTTTCAAAAAAGTACTTGTTGATTTTTTTTCCTCTGTTCGGGACCAAACACCACTGCGACCAGTATTTTGATATGTTGTAGTATATCCCGTGTCCTTATTTTAGTGCATGTCGTATTACTCCATCACTATTGAGAAATGATAAAGTATTCGATTTTTTTTACAGTTGTCATTCTCGCATTTATCGCTAGGGTCCGACTCTAATTGAAAGGTCCTGCTATTTATACCCTTCGGAGCGTTGAAACACCCTCCAAAGGCGCGCTCCTTTGTCAGTCAAAATTGGATTCCTTAGCAACAAAATAAAGGAATGCCACCGATAATGACCATGCATCAGAACCCTAGTCTTAACCACTTCAAACTAGGGAACAACGAATAGAAGATTAGGAACCACAGAGATTAAGACTAACTAATTCATTTTTTCCTTGTTTCAAGATCATCCTCGGTGAACAAAGCCGAGTCTTGTCACTATCAACAAGGCATAAAAAGCAACAAGCACTAAGATGTGTTCCTTGGATTACTGAAGTAGTCAGGACTAGGAATCGGTGGTAGATCTTACATCCCGTAACGTACCACGAAAAGGTGATGTACCGACGTTACGCGGTACTTGTTAATTATTTCCCTTCAATCCTCAAGTACATTCCACTGATCCTTAATTGAAATGTAACTGCAAGTGCAAATCCACCAGATGCAAATCACTAATTGGAATCTGACTGACAATTGAGGTTTACTTGTTGCTTTTTTCAAGTTCATTCTGAATTTTATTTGCTTTGCTGAAGAAATTTCAATAACAACGTTTCCAACTGAGAAAACTCATCGTTAATTTGGCTGTCATTTATCAAACATTGATCAAATATTATGTTGATGATATAAATATGATGTTTTGGATAAGGTTTATAATCGAAACTATGCAATACACCCAACCCTTTTTTACACGGGTACATTTTTCCAATTTCCTTTTTCTGTGGTGAATTTATAAATGTTTTGTAGGTACCATATTTTTCTATGATTGATATTCAAGCTATGTTTTATATGATTATCGGAAACAAGGAAAATAGGACCGCGTAAAAAAGGGTTGGGTGTAATGTATTAGAAAATGAAACATAAAACAACATTGTAATCGTTATCTATCCGATGTTTTATCCTCCTAATTTCAGGCATTATCTTCAGTGTTATACGACACCACGGATGACACAATCGTGATATCGGTGAAATCATCGGAACAATCAGAAGTATGCTGTGAAAGCACACCTACATTCACGGTGAGTATTGTAGCCCGAAGCCAGCCATGTTTTGATCGTATCCAATTTCTACGGCAGTAAATTATTTTGTTGCCCCAAGCAGTCGGCACTCGTTAGTAAGCATCAAATTACATTCTTTCGACGTGGAAGATACGAAACATCATCGATATAGGATATAAGATCTGCGACTATTTGTTCAAAGCGCGAAGCAAAATATTGATTTTTAACTGAACGAAAATACCATTCGCCAAACACAGTTAGAGCTTACTTTCAAGTTTCGAATTCAATTTGGAACATTGTTAAATGTTTGCGCCTCGGGTGGCATTCCATAATAAGAGAGCAGAAAACTTTCATAATACATCGCCTCTCGAGGGACGCTCTCCGAGCAGAAAAGACGAAAAAATATAAATGGAAACGAACCGAACTGGGCCGGTCCGTGAATTGGAATTCTTTTTCATGTGCCGAGAAAACCGGAAACCGAGGGACTAAAAGCAATAGCCCCAAACCACAAACCGACCGAGTACGTTTTCAGGCATTGCATCCTCTTCCATAGTTTGTGTAATCTCTCAAAGTGAATGGCACACCAGAAAGCACAATCCACAATCCAACCGGGAATGGATTGTGATCTGGAAGATGTCGGCGAACGTCAGGTCAGTTATTTTCCCGTTCTATCCTTCATCATCGCTGCTGTGGCCCTCTAACCGATATGATGTCATGGCATAATGACACATAACTTGATGGATTTCTTTTATCCCGGGATTTGTCAGCACATGTGTGCTGTTTTTTCGAAGGCCGCCGATGTCATTTCTGGGAAACCCACTCTCGCAGTGAACATTTTTTGATTGTTTTGCTGGGGAAGCACAGTAGATCTGTAAGATGTTGAGGAAATTCAAAAGGCAAATTGAAATCGGATTTTCAGCAGGATGCAGCGCAAAACAAATTTGATTTCTGCTAATCTGCTTCGGACACTCCTCCAGAGATCCATGAGCCAATAGTTGAAGGAAATATCTACGTCTTGCAGTGTTTTAAAGGCACGTTCAACGTTTTTAGCCTTACAGTACTCACTCCAACTTTTGTACCGATTACTCAAGGGTTAAAGTGATTTTAGTGTTTTCAAGTCCATCCTGCACAGCAAAAAATTATGAAAATTACCGGTGATGTAATTCGAAAAGTAATTAACCAATTCTAACGTAATGCAATATCGCATACATTTTTCTATTTTGAAAGATGCACATTATGAACATATTGTGTTTAATGTAGAACTAGATCAATTCTTACTTAATTTCACAACTAAATTAAATGTCCATCCTACACACTATAATTTTACATGCGCAAAACTTGGTTTGTTTACCAGGCAGCGTTTGACGTTTATCGTTTTGTGCGTGACAGCCAAAAAACTGATCCTCATTTAGAACGTATGTCGGAGTGAAATTCAACAAAACTAAAAAACTGTAGTTCAGTCTTCAGGTAACCAAATGAAAATTGCTTAATCAAATTCTTCATAATTTTTTTTTTTAAATCAGGCATAATTTCCCACGATGGCCCGTAAAACTCAGACCGCAGGCATAGGCTATAGAAAAAGTCCCCGCAAGCTGGGTGAGGTGAGCCAGTAGTGGAGGCACTAAGCCAATTTATCAATTAAAAAATAAATATACGATGTACACACAATTGGTATACGTCAATCTGTAGCTTTCAACCTCTATTTTGATAGAAAAATATTACATTGTAATAAAATTGCATAAAATTTTAGAAATATCGTCCTCCATTAATAAGAACACTGTTCCAGTAGTTGTGGTAGTTGGAGGCGAACCAGCCTAATAAAGCTAAATAATAATAATAGTTGTGGTAGTTGCTAACTTTGGTTCCTATAATAGTGGAATGCGTTGGTTTCTTATGGGTTCCACTATTATAGGAACACTACCGCAACTATAGGTGCACAGGAGTGGAAATCTTAAGGAAAAATAATTATTTTCCGTCACTTTTGGGCATATTTTAAGTTTGACATGTGCAAATATGCTTTATTTTAGGAGAGCACCGATGAAAAATAATCTTATCCGGATCCTCCTACACTACTATTACTGGAACACCTACCTTATTGACTTCTTGCCGCAAGATTTCACCAATACAACGTTGCTAGTGTAGCCGTGTAAAATCGATTTGTTTATGATTTTCAACCACAAAATCAGCTGGCAAAGTTTTTCGACTTAACAGCGGTTTGTTTTTTATTTTCAACCAGTAAAAAGCTTGTATTAGTGAAACTGCTCACTAATGCTAATGATGGTAGAAAACTCTATTGTCTATTATCGGGAAACAGAAGCTCTTCATGAGGTCTGCCGCTACTAGGACTTAGTTTAGCTTCTGAATATAAGATGTTTGTTATTTAATCTAATCTATTTAATTTATTTAAAGATGTTTGATCTAAAGGGTGTACCGTTTAAAATCCGCACACACTCAAATTGCTCTAACTTTTAATCCGTTGGGTAAAATTAACTGAAATTTTGCGTAGACATAGTTTAATGTGTATTGTTTACACTCTGTGAGTTGATTTCAGCATGTGCGAAAAAGCTTGCAAAATGGCGACGAAAGAACAGTGCTTGCGCGAAAAAGTTTTGAACGAGTACTTTGAGAATAAGGATCTGTCGCATCGTGCCATCGGAAAAAGTTGGGAATCGTGAATTCCACAGTGTCTGGTATCATAAATCGGTTCGAAAAACGGCTGACTGTTGATCGGAAGCAAAGATCCGGAAAAAAAGCCGTCAGGTCCCCGAGAACGATCGCAAACGCGTGGTTGGGGCCTTTAAACGGAAACCGAACGCCTCAGTTCTAGATGTGGCTAAAAAGTTGCATGTGAGAAGACTTTCGTGCAGAATACCAAAACTCGGTCTGGACTACGTACGTTTAAGGTTCAAAAGTCCCCAAACCGTGACGGGAAACAGAATACGGACGCAAAAAGCCGTGCCCGGAAGTTGTACGACCAGAAGTTAACGAAACCACACTGCTGCGTAATGGATGACGAGACATATGTGAAGGCGGACTTCAACCAGATTCCAAGAAACCTGTATGTGACTGCCAAGGATAAGTGTGATTTTTCCAGACACAGAAGATGTCGAAGTTCACCAAGAAGTTCTTAATTTGGCAAGTGATTTGTACTTGCGGAAAGCGGAGTACACCTTTCGATATCGCAAGCACCATGAATGGACAGGTGTATTTGGAAGAGTGTCTCCAACAGCGGCTTCTCCCTCTCCTGAAGGCTCACGACGGTCCGACGATCTTGTGGCCGGATTTGGCATCATGCCACTACATGAAGGGCGTGCTAGAGTGGTATAAGGCGAATAATGTCGATTTCGTGCCGAAAGATCTGAACCCTCCAAACGTTTATGGGTTTATATGCAAAAATAAAACTGTCAATTCTAAGGTCGTGCAGAATCTTATGGCTGGGGTTAAGGCCAAGGTTCATTCATATATAAATGCGAAATAAATTAAATGAATGATGCCAAAACTAACTTTAATTGTTTCTTTTTATTCCGTGGAAATTTGGTGATAATCGGATAAAAACTCGAATTTTGAGAATGAATTTTGTGTGTGCGGATTTTAATGGTACACCTTTTAAGACAACTATTCATGTGCCCCATGCCCAAGGGAAAACGTTATGTCAAGGAATATTCTGCGAGCCCGTCACAGAGAAAATACCCATTGGAAACGTGTCTACGAAGTAATAAATTACAAATTTTAAATAAAACTTCATCGTATTGTTCGCAATCCGACAAATCATATATGGTAACCCTAATAAAAAATAACCATAAACGAACGATAACCCAAATCATTGAACTATTCCACAAATGGTTTGGATACCCAGAACACGTCGTTAAGCAAATTAACCATACAATTTTTATTAGGGAAGATAGTTTTATTCCTAACCTCAAAATGTCTGCGCATGTTTTAAAATTACATGATGATTGAAGCGTACAGTACAGAAGTGTGTAAATTTAAACTATGAAAGTATACACTTGTAATTTTAAAAACACATGCAATTACACGTAAAATCACACGTTTATTTCTAACCGTGTGGTGTTGACAAGGATACCGTTTTTCGCGCTGTCAGCAATATTAAGTTGAAAAGTGACAACCTTTCCACAAACTAAGTACACTGAAGTCTTTTTTTACACGGCTTTTTTTTAACGCGGTTTTTTTTACACGGTTTTTTTTTACACGGTTTTCCACGATTTACACGGTACGTTTTTAACGATTTCTCGACAACGATACAACCTATCGACTTGATTCCAATCACATTATCCGTTTCAAGCTATTTGTAATCGAATGGCATACTTAAAAAAAATCACAATTTTTGGTGTAAATACAGAAATTTTTAAAATATGTCTATATGGACGATATCATGCTTTAATTACAAATGGCATCCAAATCCGATTTTTTAAAAACATTTAAGCATGCGAAAAATCAAAATCTCGTAGGTTTTTTTTTACACGGTTTTTTTTTACACGGACCGTATCCCCCGTGTAAAAAAAGACCTGAGTGTACTGTGATGCTCACCATGAACACTTTTTAAGCTTCAATGAAGCTTTCCAATATGATTTCAAAGGATTCACGTTATTTTAATTATTCTCCCTTACTAAAACATTTTAAAAATCAGAAAAGTCGAAAATACTCGTTGAGTATAGTTACAAAACTTGAACGCGTCAATGTGCTGATGAAATCATCGAGCTCCACCATTGACAGGATATCTACCGAGGATAGATGATCCTTTTATACACAGCTAATGATGTTTAAATCGACACGTCCCTTGAAAGCTATCGGATTAATGGCTATCCAAACATTCGAATGTTATTTTGATTCGAAAGAACTTTTGCCTCTAAATGCAGATCAAAGCTCAAACACTAATTTCCAAATACGTTGAGTGCTGTGCAATAGTATATTTTTATTGGCTGTCATTGGATGGCACCAGACTCAAGTGTCAGTACATTTCGTGAACAATGCGCATACAGCAAAACCTAATTAGTTCTACG